ATTGCACAATCCCAGCTTAAAGCATTACACAATGCAGGAGGCTTTCGTTGGAATGATGTTGCACGTATGTTACAAGTTTCAAGCAGAAAAATTCCGCCGACGAAGACACGAATTGGGCATGAGGGTTAAAGGAAGAGAGTTCTCTGACATAAGTGATATCCAACTTCACAATGTTGTTCGAGAAGTGCTGCAGTCTACCCCGTCTGCAGGATTAAGGCTTGTTCAAGGATCACTTAGACAGCAAAGCCTTGTTGTTCAAAGATTAAGGGTACTTCACTCTTTAAGGAGAGTAGATCCAGTCGCTTCTACTTTACGAAATGCAAGGCAAATAATCCGAAGAAAGTATAACGTCAAGGCTCCAAATTCATTGTGGTAAGTATAATTTCTTTATTTATACTTTTACAATAGTTGGGCAGAGCTTTTGTTTGGGATTGCAAACATATATCAATGAAATGGGTTGTTAGACAAAAACATGAAATACCCAAGGTATCTAACGTGCCACAGGTGTTCTGTTCCAAGTAGGGATGTACAGTACCAGTACCCTGCAAAATACAGATATCCGGTGCTTTCTGGTAAACTACTCTCTGTTTTATATTATCATGCAGGGTAGGGTCAGTAAAGTATTGGGAACATTATTATCGAGTTATTATCCAGTTATTATCCATTTTGGAAAAAGTATCTGGAAAAGTATCTGGTAGACAACTATCTGGTTCCCTAGCGAACAGCACAAACCACCGTTCTAGACGTTAGCCTGAGGCTACTAACCAGGGTACTAATTCTGCTTGGTTATTTACACCCTTGAGAAAAGTGCTCAGTGAATGTGTTTTCTAAGTTCATCAAGTATTGTTCTGGGCACATCACTAAGGTTAAAATCTTCATGGGAAGAGCTTTTTACAGATTTTGTGGACTTTTTGGGGATGTACGTTGCATGGACTGTCATATTTGTCCGGAAAATGAGCAAATATTTTTTAAATAAACATCAGGGAAATTCTGATTTGAGATGTGTTGGTGGTATTGATTTACTGTAGGCTGGTTCCA